GGGCCGACACGCTACATCCTCTCACGCCACACGGGGCCGGGACTAGAGCCAGCGAGTGCCTGCAGCGCACTCAGCAGCAGGGGCAGGCTGGACCGCCCGCTGTGCCCCTCCGTGGGCGAGACGTCGTGGTGATGGAATCGTGTCCGTCTCTCAGCCCAGGTCACGCACGCAGCGGGCGGCGCCAGCGCCGGCGCGGACACTGGGGCAGGACCCTCGGGGCTGACCGGCTCAGAGCCTGCGCGGACGAAAGGTCAGTGTGGGAGTGGCCTGTAGGGGGAGAACGAGGGGCTGACCGGCGGCTCACACTGTCTCTGTGTTGCGCAGATGAGCTGGACGCAGTGAGGGAAGAGGCTCTGGAGACCATCGGTTCCCTGAGTGGACACCCTGACCTGCAGCAGCACTACTCAGGTGGGACACTGGACACACCTCCTGAACCAGGACTGGACAGCCCTGTTCTAGACACACTGACCCCCAGGACTGGACTGGACAGCCCTGTTCTAGACACACTGACCCCCAGGACTGGACTGGACATCCCTGTTCTAGACACGCTGACCCCCCAGGACCTGGACTGGACATCCCTGTTCTAGACACACTGAACCCCAGGACCTGGACTGGACAGCCCTGTTCTAGACACACTGACCCTCCAGGACTGGACAGCTCTGTTCTAGACTCACTGACCCTCCAGGACTAGACAGCCCTGTTCTGGACACACTGTCCCTCCAGGACTGGCCAGCCCTGTTCTGGACACACTGTCCCTCCAGGACTGGCCAGCCCTGTTCTGGACACACTGACCCTCCAGGACTGGACTGGACAGCCCTGATCAGTGTGTGTCCTGAGGGTACGACACTCATGGTGTGTGTTTTACAGGAGAGACAGAATAGGAACAGACAGGCAGGCAGGCAGCTGAGGACCAGCACTGGTTTCTGCAGAGTGAAGACTAATAAACTGCTTGTGTCAGACTTTGACTGACCGCGAGTGTGTCGGACCGCTAGTGTGTCAGAGTTTGACTGTGTCGGACCCCG